GGCATCTACTTGTTCCTTCTTTGCTCTTGGGTCGGTTCCACTTGGTCACCTTGCGAAGATCGCGGCTGACTCCGCGATCATCTTCAGGGGGAGGTTGCACCCCCTAGTCCTGATCGAGGCCATTAGGGCCCGCGAGATTCTCGACGGTAGGCTCGCGGAGGCCCGAGCAGCTCTGCTCTCGCCTCCCGCCCCATCGATCGCTTTGGAGGATGCCATCCCGCCCCCTCCTCGAAGGGCTAGTGGCATCCTTCCCCTAACCACTGCCGAGCTTTGTGGCCGTACCCGTTCTCGGACGGCCGCTCTCCGCGCCTAAAGCGCATCCCGTGTCCTGGGGTCAAGCAGCCCCTCAATGGATGCATAATGCGTGCCCTCTTCTGGAACATCCGCGGTTTCGGCCATGATGGCCGCCGCCAACTCATTGAGTACATGCGAGATGAACACATTGACATTGTCACCATCCAAGAAACCATGCACACGGAATTCTCCCTCCCGGAAGTCGACCATCTTAGCGCCCACCTCTTCTCCTGGCATTGGCTCCCTTCTAGTGGGAGCTCGGGCCATTTCGGTGGCATCCTGTTAGGCGTGAAGGATGCCACCTTCGAGGTGGGCAGTATGGACCGGGCCAGTTCTTTGTTAGCATGGAACTTTTCGAACGCGCTCTGAACTTCAAGTGGGAGGTTATTATCGTCTACGGCCCCGCTGACCATAGTCGGTCTGCCTCCTTCCTCGAGGAGCTCCACCGGAAGGTTTCGGCTGCTTCGCTTCCGATGGTAGTTGGGGCGATTTTAACCTCTTGCGTTTCACGGAAGACAAGAGCAATTCGCATGTCAACTTTGCACGTATGCAAATGTTCAATGACTGCATTGCTGACCTTGGTCTCCGCGAAATAGATAGGGCTGGTGCCAGGTTCACCTGGACCAACCGTCAAGTTACTCCGACCTAGTCCGTCCTGAACCGGGTCCTAGTCTCCCGGAACGGGACCTCCGTTGCTCACTAGCCTCCCTCCGGGCCATTACTCGGATCGGTTCTGACCACGTCCCCCTCCTTCTCTCTTCCGCCGACGAGTGCCCCTCGATCCCTCCCCGATTTTGGTTTGAGACATTCTGGTTGTCCCAAACTGGCTTCGTCAAGGTTGTTGGCGCCCGTTGGGCGGAGGCCCGCCCCCAACCCCAGTC